TTAAATTCCAGTGAAATATATTTATGTTTGTGGTTGTAATGTGACAAAATATGGAAAAGTTCAAGGGGTATGAATACTTTTGCAAACCACTGTATGTTCCAAAGTCACACCAGGGTGTCCCATTTAGTACAAAGTCCACATATTATCGTTCTTGAATAACTACAGTTATGCATTTGGAGTTTCTTTTGACATGTAAAAATTTTTTTTGAAGATCTCTGACCTCTCTGTCCATTGTTTGTAATTTAATTTATTCATTTTTTCAATTCAGATTGCGATGGAAGCATATTCACACACATTATGGACCCACACAAACAATAGGGTTAGTTTGACAAAAGCAAAACTTCACATGGTTTAATGTAAATCGGTTCATCTGTCAGTTTTATTCTTACTTTCTAATTTCTGTAAATCAAAGTATTGGGTGGGGTGGGGGTAAAACAGTGTCTGTGCAAGACACAAACAATGCTTATATCTGACGAGTTGATTTCTGCACAGAAAATGAGTCTTTGTACAGTTAACACAAAAAGTAAGGGAGTTAGTGTTTGGTAGATTACTTGTTTTTGTTCAAACAATGCTTCTTGGCACCTGATTGGCAGCACTTGGGGGTACCAGAAGCAAATTTTGTGAAAATTTTCATGTGTGCAACCCACACATCTGCTCTATTGCTCAAATGTCTGTTCCTTACACAAGTGGCTCCATTTAAAGGGGAAATTAACAGGCTTTCCAACGTTATAAGATTTATTGTCAAGAAGCATCGTTTACAACAAAGAAATACTCCACTAAACAAAAAATCTCTTACATTTTGTGCTAAGTCTGTATAATCTTGGCTGTACTGTGGACCCTGCCTCTCACACACTGCTGGAGAGAGGCACCAGCTCCCCACAACCCTGCATGGAAAAGCAGGTAAAATATTAATGTGTGTGGGTGAGAGAGCTAATAAACAAGGTGAAGGGCAGCCTTATGTAATGTGCTACAATTTTAAAGCCTGGTTTCTTCCTTCATTTAAACTCTTTTATTGCTGTTTGTCTGCAGGATGCTGATCATTAATTTTGTTTGTATTTCTCTGATAGTTCTGTGTTTTGGTTGACAGGAGGGCCTGACGTTTTCCTTAAAGGCCCTTCAGATTTTGTGAGTGAACCTTTAAAAATAGGTTACTGAATTTCATTAAAAATATGTACGTAAATGAATATACATATATG